TTTTATATTTTTAAATACTTAAATTTGAATTCAAGAATGAAAAATAATAAAACTAAAAATAAACAATAATATGTTTATTATTGTTCTTTTTAATGCATCTTCATTTAGTATTACTTCGATATTCGATAGGTTAAAGTACGGCGAGTCTAACGTATGTAAAGAAAGGATTTAATTTATTGTTGGTATGTTTGAGGTTAGGGATGAAATAAGTTATTTTTGTATAAAAGAAATGCTTTAACGCTCAAATCAATGTTCGCATGTAATAATAATAAAATAATACATTCATGCAATAAAATTGTATAAGGTTAAAATATAGGTAATATAACAACAAAAATTAGTTTGAATGAAGGTAACACTTAAATAAAATTTTAAATTTAAGTTATTATATATCTAAACAAATTTAAATAATAGACTATCCACTATATTTAATTGCACGACTCAAATTAGATCTAAATTTAATTGGATAATATATATATATATATATATATATAATTAATATGCAGTAATATAACATAATCTTAAAAAGGTTTTGACCCATTAGAAAGAAAGTGTAACTTGAATATTATTTCATGCGAGAGTGTGTATAAAATGTTTATTCATATATTAGTTTTTAAGTGGACCTCAATTTTAGTATCCAATTCGGTAATATATTGAGTCTTGCATTTTTCTTTAGTAATGTTAAAAAATAACAATCATAATATGTTTTTTAAAGTAACAACAACATTAAAAATATATTAATTTTTTTACTAATGTTAAACAATAACAACAATAAAAAAATAAAACAAATATTTTAAAATAATTTATACATGTTTCTGGTATTATTTTAATTTTATATATCTCAGTTTTTCTTAAATAATTGTAATACTTTCATTTATAATATTAACTTTTAACTTATATAGATTTGTGTAGTATTTTAATTTTGAAAATTCCGCGCAATAATCTCGAACTCGTAATTAAATTGCTTTTGACTCAAATTAAAACTCCAATTAATATGAAGAAAATTGATATTCGATCTTTCATTCAATTGCTTTTACCCCTTTTTATTCAAGTGCTTGCGACTCCATTATAAATAAAAGAAGTATAAAAATTAAGTTAGGTTACACACGCACCCGTTTTTCTTAACTATATTGTCTCCAACTATTTTGAATATTTATAAGAAAATTGTATTTTTTGTTACCTATTCTTCTTTTAGTGAGTATCATTACCTTAGTAAAGTTATTATTGTGTTTTGGTAGTTGGAAAATATCCTTGATAGGATACTTTTGCTTATAAATTCAAGGTATAAGTTGTTATATTTACATATGGTACATTGTTATGTTTATTTATGGTAACTTTTATTGTAGCTAGCTTTCTAGAATTGGTTTTTGAAAAAAGTAAGTAATGCCGATTAAGCAATATATATTTGAACGGAATGATAACATCTTTGTGTTTAAAATAATAAAAATACCATATATTTAAAGAACATATGAATTCTTGCTGTCCCGTGACGTTATAATCATACTATTTTGTAACATTGCATTTAAACTTGCCTTTTTCAACAGCAGGTAAAATTTTGTGAACTACTTTTGGGAACAATTGTGGTGCGCATCTCATAGAAGCCTATTCTATTACACATCACTCAGCAATCAGCATGCAACAATCTATGCTAAAACCAAGCTACACTGCGAGGACCCATGTAAAGGCAAATTGGCAATAATTGACTAGCTGAGGCCCTCTTCCAGGCTGCATGTCCAAAAGCCTGCAATGACCAGTCGCAACTCACTGGCTTCCATATCCCCCTATCCACTCTCTTTTCTTCTCCTCCTTTTGCATATATACATACATATGTACACACATCTTCTTGACATCAAGAGAAAGATATGGTCCCATGAAAAATCTGATATCTTATACTTAAACGTTTCCAAGTTACAGCTGAATGATGAAACTATTGAATATGAGTAATGTTATTTTAATACTTATTTTAAAATACACTTTATACAATTACAACATAATCACTTAGTGAGAATCATAAATATGAAATATGCAGGTTGAGCAGGAGGGGAAATAAGGGCATATAGAGTAAGAATGATCACGTGGTGGATTTGTTTGGACATAAGAACGTTTGATTGGGTCTAATAGTTGTTGTGGCTTAAATGAGAAAGGCATCTAAACCTGGAGCCCTCAAAATTAATGGTGAGCGTCTACTACAAAGGCCCACCAGAGGGACTCATCATTAGGCTTCTGCCACGAAACTACAGTGAAACATAACTACTAGACAACGTTAGATTTCTTTTTCTATTTTGTTTCCCTTCAAATAAGCTCACACCTCATCTTTTCTTTTTCAAATTTTTTAAGCCTTTGTTTTGTTCCCCGCTGTCGCTCCGTGGGGTGTGGGCTACACTCCGCTAGCTAGTTCACATAATAATAATAAGTTAAATGAAAAATATTAAAGTGTTTAGTTTGAGGGTATTTTTTTTATATGGAATAAATTAAAAAATTATCAAAATATGATGTTTTGAAAAAAATTACAAAAATATATAATTTTTAAACGATTTTTTTTTAAATTATCACTGACAATTTTTTATTTTAAATATTTTTATTATTTTTCAAAATATTATTTTTTTATTTTTATAATTTTTTAAAGTTTTTTTAAATCTTCAATAACAATTTTTAAAACTTAATAACCTTTCGTTGTTTTATTAGTACGTACACCAGAAATTATTAGTGATAAATTTAAATTTTATTTTTATAATTTTTTTTAAATATCATATTTTAGTATATATATTTTAAATTTTATATACAAAAAATTATTCCTTTGATTTGATTTGATTTTTTTTATTTTAAATTATGTATAAGACATAGTAAAAATAACAAAATTAATTTCAAATGTTCTTATATAAAAATTTTAAAATTTTAGAAATATGATATTTTTATAATTAAAAATAAAAAAGAATAAAATTACAATTATTTATAAAAATAAAATAACCCCTTAATTTTTATAAAATGGTGAACTATAGTTTGAATCCTTCCTCGTAAGAAGTCCACATTGACCTTTTGTTTGGTCCAACGAATTGAAAAAACACATGTAAAGTGGATTATTTGGATAAGGATGAATTACATGAAAAAACAAAAGAACATTTAAAATATAGAATCAATCTAAAAAGTTTTTTTTCCACTCAATGTGAAATTTTAAGACAAGGAAAGGAAACATGACAAGAGAAGGGTGGGATTTTTTTGTTCGGTGAATTTAGAGATAAAAATACGTAGCTAATTGTTTAGATGAAAGTGAATTATTTAAGAGCAATAAATTTTTAGATATAAATTCCCTTTAAAAAAATTATTTTCACCTAGAGTGAAATTTTGAGAAAAAATAAATAAATTATGTGTATCGTCCATATTTACTCCTCTTGTCTTGAAATTCATGACATGAAATATTTATTATAAAATAAAAGATATTTTACATTCATTTTGTTATTTTCTCTCCCACCATTTCATTCATCTACTAGAAAGTATCAAACAATATGAAATGAATTAGACAAAATCACTACTAAACAATCTATCTTGATTTTTGCTAATATTCAGTATTTCTTTCATTTGTTTAAATTATTGTTTAAACAATCAAATAAATTTATCTTTATTCGTGTCTTATATATCCCAGACATCATTTACATCATTGTTATGTTTAAATAAATAAAGACTTTTTTTTTTTATTATTATCGATTTTTAGGACCACAACTTTTAAGATTAAATTAACAAAATAATATTATTAGTCATTTAAACATTGCATCCTTTTTATTATCATTATTTTATTTTTCCTTTGATATCTTCTATTTAGCTAAAGAAAGTTTTAGTGCTTAACCATGACTCTGTAGGATAATTGTAGAAAAATAAAAAGAAAAAAAAATGAAGATAAACCTTAAGGGAAAGACATGCCATGAAATGTGAAACACAATGCCACATGCCTTGTCTTGAGCATCCATTCTTTGTACTTCTTTTTCCTGACTAAAAAAGCTGAAAGCAACCAACAGCCTGTCCTTATTATATCTTCTTTCTTTCCTTTCTCAAGCTATGCATATTACATACCCGGAAGAAGCCCCATTTTTGGAAAATTATATTTTTGTAAGTATTAAAATATTTAGTTGAACTTGTTAAACACATCCACACCCTTTTTGAGTTTCATTGCTCTCTCTCTCTCTCTCTCTCTCCTCCCCAAGTTTCAAGTTTCAACTTTCAATGCATTGTCCACACTACTGTCTGCACAAATCCACAGTTCCATCTTCTTAAGTGACTAACAAGGTATGGTTTGTGGGGATTCCTTCTTTTAATATAACATACTTACAGTCCTCTCTCTTTCTAATTATGTCTTTTTCTTTTAATTTTTAAAAAAAGAAGGAAAAATATGTGTGTGTATTATATAGTTCCTTAATTTGACTGTCCAATGGTGGTGGTGGTGAAGTGAAGAAGTAAGCATCCTTCTGCTGCAATTGTCTGCAAGTACTCACTTCCCTCTTTTATTTTTTTCACTTGACATTAAGTTGCTTCATTATAAGCTGTTGGTAACATTCACAATTGCAACTTCCAGTTTCCTTGGAACTCTTTCCTTGGTAGATAGTCATTATTATTATTATTATTATGTATTTTTAACAGTCTCTGGTGCAGGTTTCTTCTCTCTCTCTCTCTCTTTTTTGCTAAATACGGACAAACAAATGTCCAATATGGTTGTTAGTAAGCACCTATTTTATGGCTGTCTAGTTTTTTTTTTCCTCTAATACCATTTGTCACTTTAAAAATCTTGTTGAATTGAAGTTGGGATGTTGCCCATTTATCATGCTTTCTTAAAAGTTTGGTTCACCTTCTTTTCCATGAGTGTCTAGTCCAATGTTTTCTTTACCTGCTTAATTTTCTCTTGGTTTTCATGCAATTGAGAACATCTTGGTGTCTTTTACAGAAAAGGGTGACAAAACAAAAGATAAGAGGGGCTTTTGAGGAATCAGAGGTGCAAAAGTGGAAGTCTTTTTGTTATGGACTGGAATTTGAAAGCACCTTCTTGGGATTTGACTGAAGTGGATCAGGCAAACGTACCCAACATGGAAATAATGGATGGTTCAAGCAGATATGGAGTTTACAGAAGCAAAGGGGAATTTTCTGTTGACTTGAAGCTTGGCCAAGTGGGAATTTCTGGCACAGAAACAAAGTCCAAAGATGCTGGTGGAGTCTCCAAAGTGGCACCCTCATCTTCAGGGTCATCTAAGAGAGCTCGAGCCATTAACAATGGGACACAGACAGTGTCATGCCTTGTGGATGGATGCCATTCTGATCTTAGTAATTGTAGGGACTATCATAGACGCCATAAGGTCTGTGAAATCCATTCCAAGACTGCACAAGTCACAATTGGAGGCCAGAAGCAAAGGTTCTGCCAACAGTGTAGCAGGTGCATGTATCATATGTACACACGTGTGTGTGTCATGTCTTGCTATGAATTTGCTTCTCATTTATGCTCTTAACTAATGCTCTTTTTATTGAAATATAAATTATAATAGACATCCAAATAATTGCATCCACTCTTTCTTTCTGTTATTTTCAGCATCTTAATTTGGTGTTCACTAGAGAATTAAGAAAACAGGAATCTCAATTGATGAAGCCTATGCTAAATTTAAACTTCTTCCTGATTAATTAAGATATTTCCTGATAAGATTAAGATACCTGATTATCTGGATGATTTCCATTTTGATCTGGAATTTGTGCAGAAGCCACCAAAACACTTGTTAATGGTTAGTTTATTTTAGAATTACAAACAGGTATGATTCTAATTTAAGAGACCACCCTCACTCTTGTCCTGGAAGTCCTATAGCTTCATTTAATTAAACTAGATGGATGATAGACTGATAAACCCTCTAATTGTGATTAACTAATTTTACTTATTAAAGTTGGATGTGCATATGATTTGATATGGTACATTTGATGGTATGTTGTTGACATGACATCTTACCTGACTAAAGTTGTATCCATTGGGTAGGTTCCATTCACTGGAGGAATTTGATGAAGGGAAAAGGAGCTGCAGGAAACGCTTAGATGGGCATAACCGACGGAGAAGAAAGCCCCAACCAGAACCTCTAACGCGTTCTGGTAGTTTTTTGTCGAATTACCAAGGTTAGCTTCCAGTCCTAGCTACATTATCTGAGTGGACCCGTATGTGCCTAGATTTGGAGCAGACATTTGCTGAGGATCCCCACGTAGGTACACAAATCTTAAAAGAGTAAGATATAACACAATTGCACTATGCACTTAGCTACCTCAGTGCTCTGCCAGCTTCCCTCCTTTGGTCCCTCCATGTCCACTCTCATCACAATCCAGTGGCCACTAAAATAACATGTCCGTACACTCACACAAACACACATTCAAAAGCCTTTTGCTTTTCAAAGAGGGCATGCTAGACTCGTGTGTTTAAGTAGCTATCTACTTCTTTAATATCATATCTTTTGTGGCGCCTCGAGTTTCTTCCATACTTTGGACCTTACTTCACAACAGACACAATTATATAAAATATAAAATATGGGTCTTGCTCGGTTAAAGAATTAAAAGTTAAAAAAATAATTAAAACTTGTGTAAGATGCATTGAAATTATGGGATGAGGTAATAGTTCTAAATCCTCTTACAACATTCTCCTACAAATCCTCCTACTTGCTACATAAAAAAATAATTGAATGTATTTTATGTGTTCAAGACATAAAATATATTCGTATTTTCATTCAATGCTTCATAAAGTATTAGGAGGATTATCAGGCATATATAATAGGATGGTATAGCATTACTTGATACATTAATAATATTTCCTGATAATATTTTTTACCTTTAATTCCTGATTAAGATATTAACATTTGCTATATAATGATATAATGAATTCCTTCCATGTATAATGTACATGACTTGCAATATAACAAAGTGAAAAGTAGTCTAAATTTACTAGTGTACTTATATCAGGCACCCAGTTGCTACCCTTCACTAGTTCACATGTGTACCCGTCCACTACTGTGGTGAATCCTGCTTGGGGTGGAGTTGTAACATCTGGTGGGGATGTTAGGCTTCAGAACCAACAAAACCAACAAGTGCATTTGGTTGATAAACAAGATCTTTTTCTTGGCTCTTCTCCAACCGGTTATAAAGAAGGGAAGCAAGTGGCGTTCATGCAAGGTGACCATACTCTCAACAACCAAAGCCCGCATCTTCCAACTGCTCCCGTGGGCCAGGCCCAGACGTTTCTCAGGACCAGCCCGTTTTCTGAAAGCAGTGGGCTGAGATGCAAAATGTTCTGCGATAGCCTAACGAGTTCAGTCCACGACTCCTCCTCTTGTGCTCTCTCTCTTCTGTCATCACCGCCGACGCACAATCCTGGCAACGGATTAAACCAAATGATGAACGCTCACTCACCCCTTATGCACCAACCCTTGGGCCTGAGCCTGCACGACAACAGCTTGGGACCCGTGGACCCGGTTATGGGCCCCAACGGGAGCGACCATTCTTCATCAATGTATAACTTAGGTTCTAATGGATCACAAGGGAATGAAGCCCCGCCACTGTTTCCCTTTCAATGGGAATAGAGATTTTTATTTAAGGGCTCACCCTTTGCTTGTTGAATTCTTTCTTTCGTACTTTTTAAATTAGCACTTTATCTTTTAATTGACGCAATGAACTATCACATTAAAAAAAAAATGGTGTGAATTTTTTGTACTTGTTACTCGTAAAATTTAGAGAAAATCTTATACTTTCTTTAAATTGACAATTGTCATGCTTTAAATATTTTAGATATTAAAAAATATTTATGTTTTATTATACATATTTAATATAAAATCAAAATAGATAATTTAATCTACGAAGCAACTATATAATTACTTAAAATTTTTTATATTAGATTTGTTACAATGCACCATCAAAACTATATTCGCAACACTTTTATTTATTTTTAAAAAATTGCAGCAGACATTTCAAGGGGGAAACCCTACTTGAACGTGTTCGTGTATATGCGAGACCAACAAAATGTTTGAAATTTTCCATTCTTAACGAATCGTCTTGTAAATGAAGCTGAACGGTGATGAATGAACCTTATCGCAAGTCTACGAGGATGATATAGTGAATATCATTACCATGTAAATAAATGCAGAAAAAGAATATTAATATTCTGCTTTATCTATAAGGCATTCTTTAAAACGTTATAATGGTCATTATTTCTCATTCATAATAAATGAAATTAGTAAGAAAAATGTTGATAGTAATAAAATTAAGTTCAGTAATATTAAATGATAATAAAAATAAAATATTGTAATTATTTATTTTATAAAAATTCATTTACAAGGCTAAATGTTTTCTTGAAATAAATAAAATCAAACACGCACTTAAGTCATATCTATCGCATCATATTTTTTTTTTCTGTCAAAGGTCGCATCATAGTTCACAAGCTAACTTGGAAAGTGTCGGATGGTGGAATTCATCATTCACCCAAAAACTCGGTACAGCCTCGACTTTATAGCTGTCAGACTATAATTTATTTATTTTTCAAATAATGCGCACTGTGGGCTCTGTCTCGTGCTCAAGCTTTCATGTTAGTGTCTGTCTTTATGCATTCCGTTATATGCCACGGACAAAAATTTCCCCTTTGCTTAAATTAGTATCAAATCATGGGACAAATCTTACATTTATCTTTCTTTATTTAGTAATTTTTATTTTAAAAATTTTTACATTAAAAAAAAGTGACCATGAGGAAATGCAGTATTTGGTTGATAGGGCCTTTTTGGAAAATTTTGACCTCTTATTTTACGCCAACAATTGATATGGTTCACTATATTCTTCACCTATAAACGTGTATAATCGTGGTTCATATATGTGAAGTGCAATTCTTTCTGCAACACGAACTTCAGCACCCCACAACTATTCATTATGACTTATTACTTGTGGTCTGCTAGATAAATAGTGTTACCACGACTCTATATGTCACACAATTCACGATTGGACAACTTGTACAAGCTGAGGGAATATTGATTAATTTTTGGAGTAACGAGTTGTGTGTAATTTCTTTTAAATTAGTATAAACTTAAATTTTTTTATATTTAATTTATATTTAATATGTTATAATTTATTATTTTATTAATTATATATAAATTAAATTAAATATTCAAATTAAATATAAAATTTTTTAAACTTATTCTGCTATAAAAAGTCTTTTCTCATATATATATATATATATATATGAACCAAAATCAGTCAGCACATATAATCCAAGATATATCGTCTATAATTCAATCATCGCCTTGTGAATTGATCCATCATTATGAACAACTGGCATAGGTTAAATGTCTATTATTAACTATCAACATTTCATGATTTCATCGTCAAATTAAGTACACATCTTTTGAATCCTAAGTTCCATATGTACAAACCTTAACGGGGGGGTCATAGTATCTATTTATTGTGTAATATCTAAAGCATGAGCTACGAGCTGTATTATTCGATCAACACTTTAATTACATTTTTGTGCCACATAGATAAAAGTTATGCCCATATTAAAATGAAAGATTAAAAGAAAATTTGAACTACACAGGTTTTATAAGGTTTGCTCTATTGAAAGAGCAGTATTATTTACACACAACAAAACAAAATCTTAGTCAATATTAAATTAAAGCAAATTGACATGTACCGTAAAATTCGATAAAAAAAATATAACTCTCTATATATTTTTCACCTTTTAATATCTCTAATTAATATCAAATTTAACACAAAAATTAAAGGGTTTGTGCAGCACCAGCACCCAGGTCTATGCATAATTGAGTTCTTTGGAAGGAATCGTTTCCCTTTAATTAATTTATTTTTTTGCTTCGGGGAATTCTTGACTTAATTGTCTTCGTCTTTTCTTATCAGCTGACAAGCTATTTGGCTTTCGATCCAAGCAAAATGTTTTTTTTTTCTTTTTAAAAAAAACAACAAAATAGTACAAGAAAAAAGTATTATCTTTAATTTCTGCCTATTTTTATTTTATTTTATAAAAATGTATACATAAAATAAAACAATTATACGTATTATTTTATATGTGATATTGAATTTTTAATATTTAAATGATAAATTGCATCCGTCGATTTATCAAGGACACAAGCTGTAAAGTCTCTAGAGGGTAAATTTATTTAAATATTATTATTTTAAAAACAATTTATAACTTTATATCTAATTTGAAACTATTTCTCAATCTCAAATTTTTTTTGTCACATAAATCTGTATTTTGCCATAACAATTGGCGAAAGCATTTTATTTTTAAATTTTTTATATATTTATTTTGTTAACAGAATTATAAAATAAATAAAAATTTGATAGGTGTCACGGATATAAGAATTTTATAGATTAAATGACAAAAATATTTTTTTAAAATTATTTTTAAATAACTTTCGCCACATTACTGGCAAAACAAATAACAGACTACCATTTGTCAACAAGTTATCTAAAATCGTGATTTTGGTGGCAAAATTCGTAAAATAATCGCCAACGAATCTGCGAAACTTACAGCATGAAAAATGCTATGAGTCACTTGGCGCCCAATAATTCTGCTAATCAAGTCAACAGCACATCCAAAATACTAAACTCTCGTGATGATACATGTGGAACTGCAACAAACTCATTGAATCAATAAACCATCAAAAGAGGCAAAAACAACAACAATAGAAAAGAAGAATCTACCGTCTTGGAACCAAAAAGGAAACAAATAAGGATGCAGTAAACGTTAGAGTACCGATTGAACACGACAAAAAAAGGAATGAAAAAGGAAAAATTATAAATTTGATTGGAAACGAAAAATATTAGAGTATGGATTCAAGACCTGCACAACGCTGTTGCAGTAACAAGTGTTGCCAAAATTCTCAAGGCCAAAGTAACGTTCTCCTTCGGAGAATTGGTCCCCAAGAGCCTTCTCAAGCTTGGAGCCAACCGCACCCATAACCGCGTCAACCGATCACCGAGAAACTCAGATTTTTATCCGATTTAACTAAGTGACTCGCAACATGAAAAATGCTTTGTAAGTTTCGCAGATTCGTTGGCGATTTTTTTACAAATTTCGCCACCAAACTCACGATTTTAGATAACTTGTTAACACATGTCTGCCTGTTGTTTGCTTCACAAGTAATGTGGTGAAAGTCATTTAAAAATAATTTAAAAAAAATATTTTTGCCATCTAATCTGCGAAATTCTTACTTACATCCGTGACATGTGTTAAATTTTTATTTATTTCGTAACTATGTTGGCAAAATAAATATATAAAAAATTTAAAAATAAAATACTTTTGTTAGCTGTTATGGTAAAATATAGGTTCACGCGACAAAAAAAAACTACAGATTAAAAAATAGTTTCAGATTAAATATAAAATAATAAATTATTTTTAAAATAACAATATTTAAATAAATTTGCCTCTCTTGAGTTGCTTTCTTTAGGCTGAGAGGGGTCATATCCCTGAAATGGCTCTCTTAACTGAAGAAAAACTATTCGCAGAAGCTCAACCATTATTTTGAAGTCAACCTCAACGACTAATAAATTAAAACTATGCTCAAATAGCAAATAAAAATAAAAAACAAAATATGCTCACCACACAAATGCTTTTGACACAACCATTTCTTCCATAAAAGTAGGTAATGGTTTTAAAAGTTTTCTGTTTTTTCCTTTTTCTTTTTCCTGGGATTGATGATGTCAGTAACATTACCGATTCAAAGAGATTCTCTTACTTACAATATATTCATTAAATAATAATAAAATGTTATATATATATATATATATATATATTCTTATTGTATGTTATTATTGATGCACATTGAAAAAATTAGCCTTCGAGTAGTTTATACGGTACTCGTTAATTGTGTTGCCTTAAAAAAGATTAAGGTAGCAACGAACTTTTTTTACTATAGGTTTGTAATTAATTTTGTTTGTCAAAACGTTAAATATGGGTATTGATATTTAATTGAATCCGTATCAATACATTGATATTTTGGTGGAAATGGATAAGAAAAATCACATTTTTCTTTATAAAAAAACTAATTTTAAGTATTTTGACGACTTGTATGTTTTAGTAATAGATTAATTTTAAAAAATAATCATTTTTATAAGTTTTTTACTGGGTTCTTTATCACATTGTTGAACTCGTCTAATGTCTAACCCGATTAATGCTTTGTTTTTAGAGAAGCGTGTTTTGATGAATTACTTAAAGTGAATCATCATTTTAGACTATATCAGATTCAAGATTGATCACTTTAGTTCCTAAATGTTGCTCCTCAGCTCCCTAAACAGTCAACCCATCAATTATTTTAATCCGTACGTAAACTATGTCAGTTAACATTAATGAAAATATTAGCAATTATTTGGTTTTTAAAAACGTCTTCTATTTTTATTTTTAATTGCAAAACTGTCGTTATTTTCATTATATTTTTTATTTTTAAAATCAGAATTAAAAAAAAAAAACCGAGCAGCTCCTTAACTTGGCATGTTAGTTGATGCCCAAAATGTATATACGGTGATAAAATAATTTGATAAAAGTTATTATGTAAACTAACTTTTCATAAAAGTTATTTTTAAAGTAGTTTAATTTTAATCTGAATTATATATTTATAAATGTTTAATTTATCTAAAAAATTAGTATACATGTTTATCATGTTAAGTAAATTAAATATTCATAAATATATAGTTTTATATCAATATCTAATATTTTTTAAAAATAATTATACATAAAACAAAGTTCGTCAATAAAATATCGATTAGTAATCTCTGCATAAACTGATGTCCGGGAATAAGGTTCCTAATATGGCACGTTAGTTAGTACATAAGATGGATAAATGGCAATAAAATAACAAAAATATAGTTTTCCCTTTCGAAATCATTAGTCACTTGTTCCGAAGCTTTATGTAACTTCAAGTTGAGAAAAACTAAAGGCTGATCTCAATAACAATAAATTCTAATACGAACCATTTATTTTGTGCATTTTAATAGTTTCTTTTGGGCTAAAGTGCGTAAACAAAGGTTTGGCAGTAATACAAACATACTGTAAATTAATTTTCATGAGATAGGTTAAACATTGCTTTTTAATATCTATATTACTTAAAAAAATGTTAATATCAACTAGGAGATAAACATTTCTTCTAGTTTCGGCTAACTTTTCTATGATACTGTTTATTCCTTTTAAAGATGCAAATTCAATATTATTATGCGTATAAGCGATGCAAGTCTCAAAGATGCCAATCAAACAATATTATGCATATCAGTGATTTAACTCTCAAAATGCAAATTCAATACTATTACTCATATCTGCAGAAAATTTACATGAATAAAATCTCACAAACTTAATTAACCTTGTCTTATCAAAAGTAGTGAACCAATTGGATATATTCAAACAAATCATTTAAACAAATATAATCGTAAAAAAAAAAAAAAAGATATGATGCTTTTTTATGCTTTTTTATAAAAAATATGAAAATTTAAATTTAATGGTTCAATATTAAACATACTGGATTCAAGAAAAAAAATATTAAACCCCTCTCCAAAGAATGTCAAATATAGTTTAGTTTTGGCGTAATAAATTCAAAATTACAAGAATAGAGAATGAAATATAAAAGCTTAAAATATCTATTTGTCACTTTTAACAGACATGTCTTTGCATTTTCAGGGTAAATGATAAGAATAATCATTAGACATTAAACTAAGTCTATGGTAAGTAAGAATTGATATTGGCACGGCTCAATCATACCAAAGGACCCGATCGTTATAGGAGATTTGATTTGATTGAGCCGTCCCAACATCCCCACCTAAATACCCTCAACAGAATACTTACTAAAAACATAAGCAAGTTCTACCTTTGTGTATGAAGAACATGGGCTTTATCTCTGAGAGATGCAATCCTCCATCAACGAATTAAATGACTGAATAAGGGTTATGGAAGAATAACCCTTGAAGCGCCTTGCATTCTGATAGAAGAAAGTTGGTGGGATATATAGGGGAAATTTTGAATTAAATTAGGATGGTTGAGAGGTCAATATCTATCAATTATTATATAAATTTCCCATTACATCCTATACCTACGCTGTGTGGTTGATGATTATATTGAATCCACAAAGGGGAGGATTTCTTCCTCACGGGTTTTCCAATACAATGTTTTAAATAATGCTTTCAATATTGAGCCAACTAATTGTTATTATTCATACCTGTTTCTTCTTCCATCCTCTGCCCTTCTAGTAGAAAAGCAAATAATAATTATTTGATGATCCATTAAGTGTTGATGCATAGTTTTGATTATTTTGTACAAGTTAGTTTATGAGAAATCGGACGTATAAATTTTGTTCTTATCTTACATCTCTTTTACAAAATAAGTGGCCATTTTTAGCATTAATATATCACTAAACTTTAGGTCCATGTCCTAATTCCTCACTAATTAAGAATTTTCCAGCCCACTTAATATATGGAAGTGGAGTTGTAACATTTTATATCCTAAAATGGTCCACTTCTGTCATAGAAATAGTTTTTTAAAATTTATTTATCCAAGTATCCCTTTGAAGCTAATCTTCCACGACATGTTCAAGCGCCAATGGCGGGAGTTCCTCCAAACAGTATTTTCCATGGAAGTGAAATAATATCCAAATACGTCAACAACTAAAGGAAACAGAAATAAAAAAAATGGCGATAATTGGGAGCTAGTAGCATGTAAAGCATCTCCTATGAAGATTTTTGGTCGAAAATGATCCAATGGTCTTGATATTCTTAACGGTGGAGTCAACGTCATAATACAGGGCCTCTCAATGCCTTGAACTATATCATAGATAATCTCATTAAGACGTATTTGACAACAAATTCCGCAATAAGAATTCAGCTTACTTTAAACTATCTTTGACTGTCACAGACAATCTTGCACTTGGCCCGTCCGCACCACCCCCTTCTTGTGGGTTCTTGTAAGACCTTTCTTCGAGAGAAGGCTACCTCCAAACTAAAGAGAGAAAAACAGAAATATTTCTTACTTTAGTGAATGAGAATATTCACATACATATAGCAAGGATTTGCATAAAGTCTTTTAGGTACTTGGGTCTGATTTTATTAGGTTTGGACGTGAGTTGCGTAATTAGGCTGTTATTCTCATAGTATTCTTCCAAACTATCTGAGTCAACATTCATATCTTGGGTTATAACAGTTCTCCAGTGAGATTTTACTAGCTGCCCTTCTCACGGTGGAAATTCTGTAGTTTAATGTGATAGTAACCAACTTTTTCGTCCGACTATCATTTGAACTTCCAAAATTATTTCCAAGAAACATTATTCTCTAACCAAACATATATATAAATTTATCCATTAATAATATTTCTAGAAATATAATTCGGAAAATATAAAATATGCTTCAAAATAAACCATCCCAATTAAAATCGAAAGTTGGGCAAGTAAGAGCATTGTAATTACTCATAAGTGATGACTTTAAGCTGCTTCAGGCCAACTTTGAGGCCCAAAGCTATATCAGTTAATTCGCAAGTCTTCTGGCTTCTCGAACAGGTTTCTAGAACTATTTCCTTAAAAGGCAACATGGTTGCACACAGCTCCATTAATCATGTTTGCACACATCTTATTCCATTTAGATTTAGCAATCATAATCGCACTGGAATTCGAACCACCTCTCATTCTTCGTACACCGGTTAATGAACATCTTTATACAACGAGTACGCTTTCAACAAGAAAACAAACAAGCAAAGCATCTATATCATTTTAAAAAAAATTACATTGAAAATGTATGTCAGGACTCTTTGAGTATAACTCTGGAAAAAGGTGTGCAAAGTAACATTACTTCGTCAAAGAACTAATGAGACACTTTACTAGGGAAGCTTCAACTTAGAGCTCAAATGAACGAGTGCATCCCTGTAGTTCATGCCTACAAAGTGGATAAAGGTTGGCCGTTCCCGACCAGTTAGGAATTCTTTGTGTGTTTCTAGCAAATGGAGCATACGACACAAAAAGGGAGAAACAAAGAATCTGCCCAATTGGTAGCAAAAAATTAATGCCCAAACCTCAGAAGATACATCTTATCTCTTAACATATTACTCCAGAAGATTATGTAGACATGAGGTTTTAAGCCAATACTTTCAGCAAGAATACAAAGAAAACACAAAAGCTTGCTCTCTTTGTTTGGATTCTTATTTCCTTACAAGCAAAACTCCAACTAACAGATACATTGAAGAAAGACAATAAAAGGCATCAAACAGAAATACCCAAGGACTTCTTAAACTTCTCAACCTCCAAATACACTGTGGAATAGGGAAGGAACTCTGAGTAATGGTCTCTGCTCAGATCATTTATTGCAACTGCAAGTTTGGGAATTTCTAAGATTTCTTCATGGGTCAAAGTCCTCACAAACCTGGCTGGATTTCCTGCCCAAATTTCACCTGATGGAATTCTCCTTCCTGGGGGAACTACGGATCCAGCTTCAAGTATTGATTGTGTTTCCACCAATGAACCTTCCATGAGGATGGAGTGTTGCCCAATAATGCACTCTGGCTCAATAGTGCAGGACCTCAACAGGCTGTATGCCCCAATTGTCACATACCTTTCGATTGAAGTCTCAGCCGGAAGGCCTGTTTTGCAGAAGAAAGCATAAATAATGAATAAACAGTAGATTCTCCAATCATAAGTTAAGCCTAGCCCAAATAAATTTTTCAACTATCCTTAATTGAATCTGGAAACTTCAATGCAATTTAACTCCACTTAACAGTACACTGCAAAGAAATATGCTGATGCTAATTCCACTTAACAGTAAACAGCTCAGTGATGAGTATCGCATTCTAATATTATTTCAAAAAAAGCAGATAAAATATTTTCCCAGAAGAAACTCAGCTACCAATGGCATAACTCACAGATAGGAAGAGAGACAGGATGAGTCCGATGATACTATCACATATACAAGTATCAGACCAATAATAGAGGCAGAATAAAATTTCACATTATTGTTTGGAACCCTAAGGGCCTGTTTTTTTTTAAGTTCTATAAAAAAGTGATGCAGTGCCAGACTAAATAAAGTAACATTGCTCAAACAAATTAATTTTTCTCAAATAACATCAAAATACACGCCTGGGACTTGAGCTTCTGTTAACTTGTCACTAAAATACCACCCACGTCAACTGCAGGTTAAGGCAGGCAAAGTGAAGTAATCCAATCAAATAAACATTTGCATCTGTGATAAAATCTCAGCTTAGGTGGTTTGAGCATGCGTAAAGAGTCCCCATAGAAATCCCAAAATGGAGAGTAGATCAGAGGGTAGCCCTATAGCTAGAAGTAGAGCAAGAACAATAAAAACTACAGGTGAGACCATTAAGAAGGATATAAAGGTCAACGGTTTGTCCACAGAGAGGATTCACAATAAAAAATGTGTCACTTTGGGTAGCTTACCTTGCAGGAAAAAGCTTGGGTACTGTAATGTAAAAGTAAGTATATTAGCTATCTATGAGAAAAATAAGGTGACTGATTGTGACATAAATTCAAAGAGAGGCTCAGCATCACTGAGATAAGTTACCAGAGAACCACTTCAGTAGCAAGACCTAGTCCATCCAACCAGGATATATCAATGAGAGTATATGCTTAATAAAGGGAAGCATGGGCTTGAAAATATGATTGAGGATCAGCAATAAAACAAACACCAAGAACTTCTAAATATCTAAATGTGTAAACTTAAATTTTGTTCTTCTCGTAGAAACAGTAATAGATGGACAGTTTAAGAATATAATAGATATTACAATCTTCAACGATATTAAAAATTATTACATCCTTTCAATCCAGTGGGAAAGAAAAGTAATCAATCTGGCTCTCAACATTTAAGAAAACTCATATACAAGCAGAGCTCAACCAGTAAGTTAAGAATTCAACATTCAAGACCAAACGACGGAACAACATTTCACTGCCAATACTAGTACTTCTCTTAATTATGAACATTAAGCATATTAATAAGTTAAAATGCTTAAATATTATCCAAGCAGCTTATTTAAACCATGGATTTTTGGAATTTCATTTCACAACTACTAATACCGGATTCTATGCGAGATAAAAACGATGAAATCGACAATTGACAGTATCGAAGCAATTGCAAGAGAGGCAAAACGTGACCTGTGGGAGAAGACCAAGCGGCGTGAAGAACACAGCGCTCCTGAACATTGGAGCAGAATCCGATTGTGATCTTGTTGAGATCGCCTCGGAGAACGGAACCGGGCCAAACGGAGGCTCCATCCCAAACGGTGACTTGGCCGGCGAGGACAACGTTGGGTGCCACGTAAGCATCGACGGCCACTTTGGGGAGCCACTGCCCCAACGGGATTATCTTCCTCTGCCCTCTGTAATCCCACTTCACCCGATCCGGCGAAGGAGTGATCGATTTCGCTGCTTCCGTCGCAAACGTGCGTTCCGCTACCAGGAGCTGAGGTTGCAGTTGCGTTTGCACGTGGTGCTTCGCTAATGCGTGTGCGCTTCTTAGGGCTCTCTTGGAGAAGCGTGCTAGATTCGCCATGAGAGAGAGCGAGCTGTGAGAGTGGAACCGCAAAATGAGAGTGAGGCAGGGAAAGAGAGGAATGCGTTTGTGGGCTACAACAGAAATCGGGTGTCTGATGCTCAATTCTTGGCCCAGATTAATGCAGGTGAATAGGTCCATGGGCCTGTAATCATATAATTTAAATCAATTTGAAAGTGCGGGTTTGGCCCAATCCCCTCCCCCAATGACAGAAAAAAGGAAGTGGGGTTTGGGGGTGAGATAGACAGACAGTCAACTTACAGAAATATAAATATAATGAGTTAATATTTTATTTATTTTTATAATTATTATATATTTTTATTTTAAGATAAAGCTGGATTATTGTTGTAGTATATATATTTTTTAATTTTAAAAATATAATTTTTTAAATCTAGTTTTCAATATATATTTATAAAATTACCTTCAAAATAAAATTTCCGTATAATAAATCATTGTTATTAATCATAAAATATTATATAATCTAATATATTCATAATAATAAATATTATAAATTTGAATAAAAAATATTTTATTATTTGTTACTTATATATCGTTAAATATATGTTACAAAAAGTGCTGGTTAGGGATTGGATACTTTCTTACGCTCCTTTCGTTGATGAAAAAGAAGAAGAAAAATCTTCTTACAATTGTTGCACTTCTTTTAATAAATCTTCTTTTGCCGATCAAACAGAAAGAAAAGAAAAATAATCGTTGTCTTTTTTAAATTTTTTGTTTTCATCGTTCACACACACGTATTACGGTACGTCTTCTCCTTCGTTTCAATCCTTAATACCAAACGGTGAAACTGAGAGGGAAGTTCCAGTAGCAGAGGGATAATACACCAATTAAAGAAAAGTCACCAGTCAGTAAGAAAAAAAGTTAATTTGAAGATATCATTACCTTTAAGTGCGAGAAATCAATTTTAATATATAAACTTTTATCATAAACTTATAACTATAATATTGTATTTTATAGTGTTATCTAAGAATTTAGAGGAACAACATTGTATATTTGTTTGGGATAAGGAAAATTTTCTAAGTTAAAAATCATCTTGAAGGAAACTACATCTCAACAAGTTTTGAGGGTCAAGAAGGAGCCAAAGATAAACCTGAACATAAGAGAATATTGAAAGATCTTTGGTTTTAATTAAAAGGAACACATTTCGAGCTATTTTAAAAGATTTTTGTCACATTGTTGATTTTTCTCTAAACTGCTTGAAAGACAAGAAAATATTCCAAGACCACAAAACTAAAGGCTTTTTCAAAAAGTTTTGAAGAGTTTTTAAGTCACTGACACCAAAAACTACTCGAAAAATAGAACTGGTAAGAAAATATTCCAAGTCCACAGAACTGATGGTTTTTCGAGGAGTTTTGAGGAGTTTTTAAGTTCCTGACACCCAAAGCTGCTTGAAAAACAGGACTAACAGGAAAATATTCTAAGTCCACAAAAAACTGATGGCTTTTCGAGGAATATTTGATGAGTTTCCAAGTACCTGACACCCAAAACTGCTCGAAAAACAGGAAGTGGTAAGAAAATATTCTAAGTCCACAAACTTGGCTGAGTTCCAGATTTCCTCCAGAATCGCTCGAAAAACAAGAAGTGGTCAGAAAATATTCTAAGTCCACAAATCTGGTCGAGCTCAAGAGTCCCTCCAAAATTGCTCGAAAAATAGAAATGAGCAAAGAAAATGTTCTAAGTCCACAAGACCCAGACAAACTCTCAAAACTCCAGAATAGCTCGAAAAGAGAAGTCAAGAAGAAACTATTCCAAGGCCATAACATTAAAAGAGTTTTTCTAGATTTCTCTCAGAAATACTCGAAAGATAGGAGTATTGGAAAATCCAAAAGCGGTTACCAGTAGTTATCAACATTCACCACTACGCAAAGGAGATCATGGGCGATAGCGGTTACAGCTCCAACAAACAGCACGATTACAAGCAATCGTGGATAGTGAGCATCAACAGTTGAAGGCAGTTACTAAGAAGTGCCTGCAAAAGGTGGAAAACGGTGGTGATCTTCATGTCTATAAATACTACAAAGCATTATTTCACAAGGGACGACTTTTTGCACCCAGACACCGCACCTAAACACTCTGAGACGCTGAAACCCTGCACCGCGCCAGACACCAGCTACAAGGAGACCTATGGTGGTCGTTGTTCGCCGTTGCGAGGAGTCGTACGTTTACATTCACGCACCTTTAAATCTCTACATTTACCTTTCTGCATTTTAATTTCAGTATTCGTTGCTTGTATCTTTGTACACTCTTGGCTTCCTGTTTGTTACATTTTTGTAAAAGCATCTACGTTTGATTTAATTCTGCACATTTATTATTCACTATTCTTGCTTAATACTCTTTTACGCCGTTAATTTGAGCATCACGTTAACAACACACTTAAAAGAACCCAAAGAGGACCTAAATCCAGTCCCCAGATTGATCTTTGGATTATTTGTTTACAACTGTCATTTTTCACCGTAAACAATATTTTAATAATAAGATGTTCAATTTGAACTTGTACTTGGGATATTTGTGTTTTTTTTTTGGTCAAGAGGATATTTATGTTAAAAACTTGTTAAATGGGTTATTTAATTGGGTTATAGTCTTTTAAAACTCCTAAATTTATTGATTTTTATAATATTGACTCAAAGGACCGAATTACAACATTAAACAATAGTAATATTTTTTATTGAGAATAAAAAAATTATTATATCACTTTCCAGTGGGACTATAGTATGCAAATACTAAATTTATACATGCATACACTGTTCAAACAATAATTTTGCATCTCAATAAGCGTTAATAGTTAAGTTGAGTTCAACAATTTTTTGTGTCATTGCATTGCTTGTAATATAATTGCAAGGTTGAACATGGACACCAATATTTTCAATTTATCATGATTTGTCGCGCACGGACTTGCATTGTATTTGTTTGAGTTGGCGAAAAACATCAGTTGAAGATAAAACTGATTGATCAAAGGATAAAGTTTTTGGTATTTTATTTTTCAAAATTGTATGCTTTTATGCTGTTTTGTGCTTTAGATAAATGGAAAACTTAAAAAGGATTCCAATTTCTAATAGGACCATTGTTTGCAAATCCTCGTTTATTAACTAAAAGTTAAATTATTCTCTAAAAAAATTCAAAATAACTAAATCAATCTAAATCACAAAGGATGAAATTGAATTGATTTAAATTTAATATTATTCTTAAGACAATATAAATTAAATCCTATGCTTTTAAATAATCAAGTTACAAGATTTTTCACCTCAAAACCAATTAAAGTTAAATTGCAAAGATTAAATTAATCGAATTAATAATATTAAAATTAATTAATCAATAATACTACATTCACAGATCAAATTAATTAATGATTGGTTTTTTTAAACATAATTAATTAAGATTACTAACTTCAAGGACTGTACACTTTACAATTTGTTTTTGGTGTACGAAATTAGGAAAGTGCACCTCCCCGGATACAGCCTAAATAGCGAAGCCTGAACGGGTCGTTTGCTACTTTGCTTAAGCTTTAACTAAAAATGGCTTTCTAATAAATCTATATTTCCATTCATCTCATGATCAAAAGACGATATAAATGTTATTACCTTCAAAAGAGATTTTATTTTTATTTTTAAAAAAAGGGGAAGCAAAGGGGCATTAAATGGGTGACGTTTACTGTTTTGCTTTTTTGTTTGGTATGACAACTAGATTGGAAAAGCGATGCACGTAATAATGCCAACATTGGAAATAATTTGGGGGAAATCCACCGTCACAAAGCAAAAGGTGTCACCGTTCATATCTCCACAAAAACATTATCCCAATCTCTTTTCTTTCTGATAGAAACAGGAGGTGTTGATGGGCAAGTATCAAATCACACACAGACGAGTAGATTCAGCACACTACACTACACTACACCCATGACACTCACAAGGAAATGTAAAACTGAACAGTAAATGGCAGAAAAAGAAATTAAGACGGATGACCTGAGATTGAGATTGAAATAGAAAGTTGGCTAGCCGGTGTAGACGTGAACGCCGATGGCAATAAGGAAGATAGTGATGAGGCCGAAGTAGATGATGGCGTGGACCAAAATGGAAGCTCCACTGGTTTGCATGTTGCCAAACTCGGCGACTCTTCCCCTGGCAGGTATCTGAAAGAGAAGGCCAGGGCTGAGGAGTACGAAGAGAACCACTGCTATAATGACAGGACCCCAATCAGCCATTTCCGTAGACGCTCTTAGAGATGGAAGTGGAAGAGACGTTTGATCTGAGAGTGGGAGGGGACAGAAGTAGACACGCACGGAAATCGATGCTTCGCGTTCTTCTCGTAAGAGCGTCACCATCTTTATATGCCATTTCGACCGCTCTGATTCCTCCCCCAACTGTCACTACTCAATAGGGATTCGCTATTCCAATTTTTTAAAACCCCCCCTTTTCAAATTTCCAACCCCTCTTTACTTTTTCTTTTTCTTTTTTCCCTTAAACTTCATATTATTTATTCAATTCAAACTAAAATACTTTTTCATCATCAGTTATGTCCAGAAATATTAAAACCTATAAAAAATTAAGTATTAAGAATACACTCACTTTAATATTATTTACTAATTAAAATTATAAAAAAGGAGAAATTCACTTAACATTTTATTTAAAAAAATTTAAATTTTTTATATTTAAAAGCTTTTATAATTACTAAATGAATAAATTATTAAATGTATTTTATATTCTTATGATAATATATATATATATATATATATATATAATCCTTGTTTTATAAAATATTATAATTTTTTATAAACTTTTATAAAATTATGTATAATAAATTTGTATTAATGAAATTTAATAAATTAATAATTCTTTTATTTCATATTAAATACGAAAATATTTGTCAATTTAAAATAATAATTTTTTTAATAATACCAAAATTTTTTTGTCAACTAACTACTACAATAATTTTATGATAATTTTTACTATCTAACTATTTTACTAAATTCAGCATTTTTAACAAGTATATATTAGTGGAGTCAATTTAATTTATAATTTTAAATGATAAAACCAGCCATTGTCATAATGTTTTAACATAAAATATAAGGATTGTTTTTAAATAATTTAAAATTGTTTTGTTTTAACTCTTGTGGACCGCGGATAGCAATATTGTTTCCTAGTTACGAAGAAAAACATTGGGCCCGATCAAAAACATAGGCTTGGGTTCGCTAAAATGGCTACTGTATATTGTGTAGTCTTCCTCGACAAAAAAATAATGTATACTTTTCACCAAAATATATTCATGATTCCCAAAGAAGGATTTAGAATGTAGCGAAAAAAAGAAGAGGAGAGATATATATTTTGATTTTAGGCTTAAACATTATTTTTATTCTTTAAATTATATTGAATTTTGATTTCAGTTCGTGTAAAGTTATTTTTATATTTTATTTCTCATATTATTTTTTTTTATTATTTTAATCTCTCACAATAAGAGAATTATGACTCAAAATTGATACATCACAATACATGGATTAGTACCAAAACTATTTAAAAAAAAAATACAAAGATTAAAATAAAAAATCCAAAATTAAATTTTAATATATTTAAAAAGACAAAAAGTACAGTGAGGCCCTTTGTTTTGTTAAAAAAAAAGACAGTAAATACAGTATAACATTGTTCGATGATAAGTTGTACGGTTGAAGGATTTTTTTGTTATTTTCTTCCAACTCGTATATTTTCTGTGACGGGCAATTATAACAGTTAGGGTGAAGCCATTTCCAGCAAAACAATCCATTAGAATTGCCATATAGAAACTATTTGTTACATTTAAACATTTAGCTTACTAAAATTGAAATCACATAAATTGGCCTGTTAAAACTATAATTTTACCATCCACGACACAACTGAATTCTTTAAAAGGCATCGATTGTAATTTACCCGAGCCATTCTTTCTTTCAATCTTCCCAGTTACCATTATAATAATTTCAGGAATTTAAAGGCCTCAATCCTCGTTAGCCTCACATTTCAGAGTGGCACGTGTTGCATTTAGCGTACTTGCTGATTCTGATACGTCGATTTGGAGTAAATTATGAAAAAAAACAAAAGTTAAAAATAATACTAAATTTACGAAAGACGAAGAAACAAAGGTAGTGACGTGGAGCACTGGTATTGGTCCCATTCGAATCGGCTTCAACTTCTCCCCTCCCACCACCCCGCCTTATTTTTTTTCAATCAGTTTCACAACGTTCCCTCTCTTCTCTTGTCTCTCTTTCTCTCCTCACCGGCTGGTCACCGGAATCTCTCATTTTCCGACCGCCCCTACCCCCTTCAATTCCGATTCCCTCGTCTTCTTCTCGTACCAACACTTCTCTTCTTTCAGTGTGGTTCTTCTCTTTTTAATTTCATTTAATTATGGTTTAATTTCATTTCTCATCCATTTCATTTGAATTTCGATGATTCAAGGTTACAGATGATGTCAAGTCAAGGCGGTACTTCTCGAAAGAGCGTTTCGTTGACGAATAGCCCTACGCGGGGAAGGAGGAAAGCTTATAAGCATGAGTTTAGTGCTCGCAAATACAACACGTCACCGCGCGCCACCACGTACCTTCTCGTTATCTTCTCTAATTACTCTTTATTCTCAACATTTTCTTTTTCTTATATTGATGTTTGGTGTTCTAATATGTGGCACGCTGAAGTGAATTATTAGTTTGATTGATTCCAATGATAAGTTCAAACTGAAATATTATAATAAATAGTTTCCCTGGTTTTGTTCTTCTGAATTGAGTTTCGCTTTTCAAAATCGTTATTCTATTATTTAACTAATTGTTTCGTTACAATGGCGTTAAATTTAATAATTCATAAAGCATTCTCGCAAGTTGATAAAAGCACTCAATTAGATTGATTTTAAATTTTACACAAATTAGTGATGGCTTCATGCTTTGGGTTTCTGAGAAGAGAAGATGAGTCAGTGAATGGATTTTATTCGTAAACATCGTCGGATGATGATGCCATTGTGTGTTTGGAAACACTGCCAACGTGAATTCACATACTTTTAAATGTGAACCCAAACATGCTAATTGTTTCTTCGTGGAATTGGATCAGGGGAGAGAGAACTGTGAAATCATTGCGGCTTTCAAAGGCATTGACAGTTCCTGAAACAACAACCATCTATGAAGCTTGTCGTAGGATGGCTGCACGCAAAGTAGATGCTTTATTACTAACTGATTCCAATGCTTTGCTCTGTGGAATCCTCACTGACAAGGTATGAATTCGATTTCTTTATTTGATCCATTAACAAGACAGAAGGGAAAAAATGATAGCATTGGGACTTTTGCCAGGATTTCTGCAGTTTTAACATACATAACTATCGATCTTAATTTTTTGGTTCAAGGATATAGCAACAAGAGTTATTGCCCGTGAGATGAATCTCGAAGAAACAACTGTTTCCAAGGTTATGACAAGGAATCCAGTGTTTGTTCTTTCTGACACTCTTGCTGCGGAAGCCCTCCAGAAGATGGTGCAAGGTTTGTAAGGCTAAGGCACATAAAACCTTTTCTCATGCTAATTTCTATTTTCATATAACGCCCTTTAAATATATATACAAGGCTGGTTTATGTTTACAGGGAGGTTTAGACATTTACCTGTGGTGGAGAATGGAGAAGTTATTGCCATTCTTGACATAGCAAAGTGTTTGTATGATGCCATTGCCCGTATGGAAAGGGCTGCTGAGAAGGGAAAGGCAATTGCAGCAGCTGTTGAAGGAATCGAAAAACACTGGGGAACATCTCCTTCTGCTTCTGGTTTGTAGATTATTTTCTTTTTACATGCCTGTGTTTTTTTTTTTTTTTGTTAATTTCTAATTTGGTCAGTGTAGTTAAGTTGCCAGTTTCTACGGGCCTGGTTCTGTTTCATGCTAATTTGGTCACTGTGCAGGCTCCAATTCGTCATTCATTGAGACTCTTCGCGAGCAGATATTTAAGCCATCTTTGTCTACAATTATTCCTGAGAATTCAAAGTAGGTGATACCTTCTTTTGTAAGCATGTTTTTGAGATGAAGAAAGTTTACCTCAGATTTATGTTGTTTGCATGTTTGGAGTTATCATCCAAAGTTAATTTAGTAGATAGTTGCACTTTCCAGGGTAGTAACAGTCTCACCAACGGACTCAGTTTTGACAACAACAAAGAAGATGCTTGAACTCCGTGCAAGTTCTGCTGTTGTGACAGTTGATGGCAAACCTCGTGGTATCCTTACGTAAGTGTGGGCCATGGATATTGCCACCCCTCCCCTTTTTCTGAAAAGTTTCCCCTTATCTACTTTAGGTCAACGTAGATCGTCCGAATAGTTTTGATGTACTAAAACCTGCATATAAATTTCAGTTCACAGGATATCTTGATGCGGGTAATAGCACAAGGTCTTCCACCATCTTCAACTCTTGTTGAGAAGGTACATCTAGATTTAGTTGTACTAAGAGTAAATTTTTTCCTGCCTTGTTCGATGTATAAATTTTCTGGGAAGGTACTCTCAGAAAAGTTGTTTTTTCTGAGTGTTTGTCCAATGTTCCCTTTCTTGTCCCTCTTATTTGACGTATAGTCAGCACAATCTACAGGTCTTGACTCCAAATCCAGAATGGGGAACAATTGATACGCCAATTGTCGATGCCCTTCACACGATGCATGATGGAAAGTTTTTGCATCTTCCTGTGGTTGATAGAGGTAACATAGTAGTTTATGAGATGAGGAACAAGTTCCTGAGTGTATGCTTTTCTGATTTGGGTGGTTGAAAACAGATGGCTGTGTTATTGCTATGGTTGACGTGATTCATATCACTCACGCGGCCGTGGCGACAGCTAGTCAGGTATGTTTTCTTAGACTGTGTTTATACCCACTGCTGTTGATTGAACCCCAATTGAATCCTTGTTGTAATGGGAAATTTGGCTATTTATTTATAGCTTATATCAAATTATTTTTAGAAAAATTTTACCATTTCTTGTTCCATACTTTAGATAATCATCAGCACTAGGCTCATTAACTAAAAAATGGTGTTTAATTAGAGTGAATAGCGTCGGACAAATCCTTTACTAACGTTGAGTAAAGGATAGTATATTATTCTATGATTATTTCTTTCATTCACCCTGATGTCAATGTTGGATGGTCATACACTACGATCCCGAAATTCCATTTCTTTTCATTTGTCTACTTCCCATGATTTTTTAAGGGGGAAACATTTGTAATGACGGTATTATTCTCTCCACTAATTAGGTTGGAAATATTGCCAATTTGAACAATGAAGCTGCCAACTCCGTGATACAAAAATTTTGGGATTCGGCCATGGCTTTAACTCCAAATGATGATGAAGACGATTCACATAGGTTATACATTTATATGCAGCGATGTTGCTTGCTAAGAAAATTTATTTCCAATTTGCTATGTAATTACACATTATTAATGACCTGCCAGCGACAGTTCCTTGAAAATGATATCAGAGGGAGAAACAGTGGGATCCATTTCTTATCTTGCGTCAAACGTGCCGAACTCATTTTCCTTCAAAATACAAGATAAGAAGGGCAGATTGCATCGGTTCGCAAGCGGTATGTCAACTATTACACGTTACCAATCAGATGTTTTCATACAAGTGTGCTTGAATTTGACTGCTTGGATCTCTCAGTCAATTGATCCGTAAATCTGAATTCTTTATTATGTTTTTTATTTTTCAGTAATGTTAGCATACAAGGGATTGTGCGTCATTAACATTGATAAAATAAAACGAGAGCGAGTGAGAAATGGATGGGTTATAAGGAATGTGAGAAACTTTCGTTTGTTGTTCAACATTGATAGGGTTAGACTATAGTAGCTATACACAAACACGGCTGCATGGTTTTTCTGTTTTGATGAAATAATGCATCTTGATGGAACACCTCTTCTTTCCTCCTATTAAAATTCTTCCAATCTAGAAAAATAAAAGGACGGAAAGAAAGAAGGTAATAACGGGTCTTCGGCGATTTGACCACGTAGCTTGTTTATTGCCTGAAGTAGCTATATTTCAAATTAATCATGCCATAAGAAAATATTATCAGTTGAGTTTTGTGTGCTTGCTTGCAAGTTCAGATACTCGGAGCTTGGCAGAGGTTATAACTTCCATAGTTCAGAGAGTCGGTGATGATATTGACCCCAAGAACTTGCCCCAAATTTTGGTATGTTCCAAGATGTTATATTCATATTTTCTAATCAATGTTTACTTCCTCTCCTAAAGCAAGCTGGTCAATTTGTTTGTTAGTATGAGGATGAAGAACATGATAAAGTTGTGCTGGCTTCAGACAGTGATCTAACTGCAGCTGTGGATCACGCGAAGACAGCTGGTTTGAAGGTACGGCGGATCTCCTTGCTGGTCCTGTGTCATGAATGGAATATATTTTAGAAAGACTAGTTTTCTTTTGACGAAAGTTGGATTTAGAACAAAATAGGTTAATGATTCGTTTTTCGTTTCCTTTAATAAAAAAATTGATGTGAGATCACATATATCAAAACCTAAAATATATATTTCAAGTGTGAAGGATCACCGGTCTTGAAAGGTGAAAGAAAAGTGTCGATACGGACTGGAATTTTCTCCCGTTTTGACGCAAATTGAACAGTTCAGTCAACTAAAATTTTACATTTTTGTTTAAGTAAAATTTTTTAATTTAAGTAAAAATGTAAAATCAACGTAACAGGACGTATAGTTACAGGAGAAAATCCGAGTCCGTGTAAATACTGGATAGAATATAAAATGCATTTCTCCTCTCCTACATGATTGAAGTTTAACCGCTTGGTAAAAGAACCATTGATCGATCAATTATAAAAAATGCTTTATATTTGTACTGACCAATCGTCTAAAGCTCGTTGTCATTTAAGTAGGGTTTGCACCCATCACCCTTGCCATGATAGTATTTGAATTTGAACTACCAATTTGTCTAAAATAAGTTTGAATTTGAATTGATGAAATTCGTAGGGATTGAGATTGCACTTAGACTACCCTGGAGCGCGTGATTATGGAACTGATTCTAGTTCGGGGAATTTGGAAAATGCTAGTTCAGAAGCATGGTCCTCAGCATACAGCGCAGCTGCTGCTGGAGCTGCAATCGTAGCTTGCATAGGCCTATTGGCATACATGAAGCGAAGTCAATGAGAGGAAGAAGAGAGTTATTGTTGGGGGTAGAGGACAAAGATGAAGTTAGTTGGAACTTTGGAGAGGCATACTTTTTGCACTTGCCAATCTCTTAAGTTCTTACATTTTGTATAACTACTTGTATTCATAAACAAAGAATAAGCATTTCTATCACGCTGTTTATAAACAGTCCTTGAAGCTTGTATATTTGTAATTCACAGTCTTCACAACCTCTTAAGCACGAGAATAATCACATAGCCATGTGTATGTTCTTCCTCTATGATATGTTATTAATACATCACAAATCGGGATTGAGTTTGATAAGGAACCAAGATTTTCATCTAGTTATTACTTTTCTATTTGATCAACTAAACTAATGTTTTTATCAGGATACGGTACGAGTTGAACATTTGTTCTTAATATATTCAGATAATTTTAAAATGTGGAAATATATATTTAAATAATTTTTTAAAAAAAGAAATATTCGTTTACTTTCCTAGCTTGAAGACAAAATCAATTTACAGTATTTCTTTTTTAGGGCAACTGACATCACATGAATTGACATTGATCCGGCTAAAAATACGGAAAAAAAAAAAACAAATAACGACGCATCGGCACCGCAAAACTCAGTGGCCTCTTCCCCTTGTCACCTTCAACAATAGACGAAATTTAGAAGATAACACCGCCCCCACTTCAACCACCTCCACCATCCCCACTTGTCAGCCATCACTTCGTAAATTATTATGTTAAAAAACATTTTTTAACATATACTCTTAAGTCTTAAATATATAATAATTTTCATTAAAAATTATATTATATCATAAAATATATTACATTAACAATTTATTACTTATTATTATTTTATTATATTCACACTCATTATGAATAATTTTATGCTATTTTTTCAAGTAAAGATATGACTTTAATCTTCATAACTCAGTAAAAAACTACATTACTCAAGCAAAACGCTTAGAGATTCGACAATAGCACCTTAGAGAAAGCTATTTAAAAATGATTATAACTATATACAACATTATCTAATCTTCATCATGTTTGTGATTTGGCTGATGCAATAAGTTACCGGAATGGGTGTCACGGGTATTCCAATGACAGTGTGACACGCGTCCGTTGATATCCAGGGAGCCTTGAGATTTTGGAGGCCTTCCTCCAACTCCAATCTGATAGAAAGGTTGATGATGGCTTGTCCCCTAGAACCGTCTCTATCCCGTAGCCGGTAACTCAGGTACCGCACCGAACCTGGGAGAAGGAGCCCAATGTCAGAGGGCGGAATCAAACACCACCCGAGTTGGGCCAGGCCCACGAATCTTCGGTTGGCGAACAGCTGAAGGTTGAGGCGGGAACGGATATCCGAAAAGAAGGTAGGATCCAGTGGGACGCGGAACTTGTGATCCGGCGATGGCGTTGGGGTGTGATTGTGGTTGGTGATTGTGATGAAGGGTTTGATGGTGGGGTTTAAGAAGGAAGTGTAGTTTTGAAGGCCTTCTATTGATAGAACGGTTATGTCTAGCACTGCGGTTGAGGGTGGTGCCACCGTTATTGTCATTATTTTATTTGGAAGAGGAAGAGAGATAAGTTGAGGTTTTGGAATTTGGAAGGAGTGAGGATTCTGTGTACTTTCTGCTGCGCACCCCACCGCTTTTAGATGAACAAATGCAATGATTCAGCTTTTTCAAAATTAATTAACATATTTTTTTAATTTTTTAAAAATAAAAAGTTGTTTTTGCTTTATTACAATTATAAAAAAAATTGCATGTTAATGAATAGTTTTAATTTTGAATTTTTTTTATAGTTTTCATTTAATAATTTTAAAAGCTGGAAAGTTTATTTAAAAAAATAAGTAATTTTTAAAAAGTATATTTCCTAAACATGTTACTACATTAATTAAGAGATTAATACGAGATGGTGTGGTTAGTAATGACAGTGGAGTTTGTGGGGTCACCAGCTTGCCTCAATCACGAGGCCTTTGGAAATTTTAATTTTGGGCTCGAAAAGTCAAGTAGCTAGGGGCTATAGTGCGTGTATAAGACTACCAGTGTAACTGTGTAAGAAGAATTTTTTTAGCTTTTTAGAAGTTGCTAAATATTTACAACATACTAGTAATCTTTAATATATTTTTAGTTATTAGTTAAAATTTATTAAAAATATAAAATATAAAAATATTAAATTGAAATTAAAATTAAAATTTTAGCTAATAATAAAACATATATTTAAAAATAATTAAAAAAATACATATTAATATTTTTTAAAATTTTAAGTGGATTTCATGTTATAATAGATGAAATTAAAATTATAAAAATTTTGTAAATTTTTTTTCATAATTTTTAATATATTTTTAAAAAATTTAATCAACATTTTTAAGACACTGATTTTTAACATTCTTTAAAATTTTGAATTTACAATTGCTTAAACTTTATGATAATTTTAACGGTGAATTTTTAAATAAATAATATATCCTTATATCTTTTCCTGTACATCGCAAAACTCTCGAAGGATTCTTCAAAATTAAGTATAGCAAACTTTACCATTTACGTGGTCATCATTTTTCTCTTCTTAATAATTGTCGTAACATTGTTTTCTTAAACAGTTACAAAATTAAACTTATAATGTAACATTTACTGAGTTCTATTTTTTTTATTATTAATTTTTTTTACAATTACATTGAAGAGCTTGTTATCATTTTATTTTCTTAATGACTGGTCACTTTAAGAGTCGCCACTTTTCTTAACAAAATTATTAGACTTTTTATTTAAGACTACGTATTTAACCCAACTATTTTTAGTTTAATTATTTTAGAATATAAAAAGAAGGTGGGATGGCCAGTTAGGTCAACAGCACGTGATTCCCGTGGTTAGTCTTTTTTAATGTATAAATAATACGTATTCTCGTGGAAATCCTTCCACATTAACTTATTCTCAGACGTATCTCGGGTAATTTTATTTAAATAATATAATTTTAAAAATTATTTAGAAAGATAGGTTAATTTAAAATTATTTATCTATTTGGAGCATTTTTTTTGTCATAGCAGTGGATGTATCAGAAATTTACACATAATACTATTTTTTTTTATTTTTAAAATAACATCGCACATATCATGTCGATACTTACTTTATTAATAATACGTGTTAAGCGCAGAATGAGTATGTCACTTTTTTGGACAATAGTGTTATCTCTATTTTTACAGCAATACTGCTATCTTCATATCATGTCCGATACTAGGTGAGATGTTGACACATGACATTAATTTAAAAATATTAAAAATTATAATTTAAAAAGTATATAAATTTATAAATTTAAGATTATAAATTTTAAAAATAATTAAGATTTAAATTTAAAAATATTTAAAATTATGATTTAAAAAATTAAAATTATGAATTTAATTAGAATAAGATTATAAATTTTAAAAATATTTAAAATTATAAATATAAAAGATAATTATGATTATCTTTAATAATAATTAATATTACTCATTTAATCTTTAAAAAATTTTAGATAATTAAAATTACCTTTAGTAAAATTTTAAAAAGTTAAAATTATAAATTTCAAAATAATATGAGACTGCAAGCAATAATTTAACTAATCATGTAATATTAGCTATTAAAAGATTAGAAACAAAATTTCAATACTTGATTTAAAAGATAATTAAGATTATCTTTAATTTTGGAATAACAAATAATGAAGATTATAATCTTAATTATCTAAATTTTTTTAAAGATTAGATGAGTAGTATTAATTATTACTAAAGATAATCTTAATTATTTTTTATATTTATAATTTTAAATATTTTTAAATTTATAAATTTAAATAATTTTTAAATTATAATTTTTAATATTTTTAAATTAATGCCACGTGTTAACATCTCACTTAGTATCGAACCTAATATGGAGATAGCAGTATTACTGCAAAAGTAGAGATAACATTATTGTTCAAAAAAGTGAGATACTCATTCTGTGCTTGACACGTGTCATTACTGGAGTGGGTATCGACCTGATATGTGCGATACTATTTTAAAAAATAATAATATTGTTTGTAAATTTTCGATACACTTACTTACTTCGCAAAAAAAAAAAGTCTCAGACAGAAAAATAGTTTTAAATTAACTCTATTTTTAAAAATAGTTTTTAAAATTGCATTATTTAAATAAAATTGCCTGTATTTCGTCCACTAATTATTTATTACAACGTTAGAAATGTTTTTTTCATATATTTTTTAATTATTATTAAATAAAATTAAAAATAAATATACATGATTTGTATATTTTTAATAAAATTTAACTAATAATTAAAAATATATTAAATAATTAGCTGCTAATAAATATTACGAAGTTTTATTTTTTCTCTATATTTATCTGTTACATAGAAAGGACACTACAGAGACAGAAAAACAAAAGACTAATCTCTATTCAATTCATGGAATCTAAAAGCATAACAGCACCAATTTTCGGTGGAGGATTATCCGTGACGATATACTAGAATTTTGTTATTTTTCTTAAAATTTTAAATTTTTATGGATTTTACTAATTTACAATCTTAGAACATTGCATAAAAAAAGAATTTTTTAGTTTAAAATTATAAAAAAAAGTATAGAGACAAGTATTTATTATATTTTAGAACATTTATTTTTAAATTTTTAGTTTTTTAACTAGTGTTTTGTCTTATTTTATTATCTTATAAAATAAATATTAGATAAGATATAAATAACTTGACCATAAAATCAGCCGTCAGGCTTTGCTTCTGGGTATGACGTGGGTTGCTTATTAAGAAGAATGACACGAGCATGGTCACGAAGGTCGCGGCTTATGCTTTTTTTAAATGATTCACTTTTATTTCAAAATCTCTATGGCATGCAGAAATGTGGTGTATGCGTGGGAAAAGTTATTTAAATATGGGATTAATAAATTATAAATACTGAAATATGACTTTTTCTGTACAAGAATATAGTATAACTAAAAATGCTAAAGGTGATCTTGAGTGAATAGTTGCATGGCAGAGTCAAGACAGAAT